AAAATACGGAGAGAAATTATTCTTTCAATAAATACATCAACGAACCTAAGAAAACTTATTATACTGAAAATGCCCAAAATGTAAAAAAGATCACGTGCTGATGCAATGCCCAAAGTTCATTGACATGGACATTTTATACGTGGTAGAGCCATGCTGCAGCAATATTAGTAGTATAGTTGTAGCACCGAATTAGTCGGCTCGACCGGGGAAGGACCACGGTCTCACGGAATACCAGCGTAAAATAGCAGCTTAATGCTGCTGTGTTTCGTATGGTGAGTGTAGAGATCCGCAGACCCTTTTTACTGGAAACGAGGCATTCCATTTTAGTCCTCAGGGGTGATAACGTATCTGCGTTTTGATTCTTAATCGAGGATAAATGTAGATGTCTATGGGCCACAGCAACCACTTACCATCAAGTGGACTGTGTGCTTGTTTGTCACCTTATTTTAAAAAGAAATCCTTAAACATATCATGGGGAACATGGGAAACAGCCCAAACTGTAACAAAGATCACGTGTTGATGCAATGCCCAAGGTTCATTGTCATGAACCCTACACAACGCAATAACACTGTTGCAAAACTGCATTTGTGCGAAAATTTCTTATTTAGTCATGGCAACGGCAAATGCAATTCTACAAAAACGTGTAAAGAGTGTCATATGTGGTATTACACTTTATTGCACTATTCTATAAAGAAATACTTACCAACAATTTAAACAACATCGAACGAAATTTACTCAAAACCATGACCTTCAACTTATTCACGACTCTGTTCCAATCAGCTGTCCTCTGATGGTGTAGAAATTTTACTACCAACTGTACAACTGCAAGTGATGACTGCAAATGGAACTCAAATCAAATTACGGACTATGCTAGACCAAGGCTCATAAGTAAATTTAATCACTTAAAGAGCGGCGTAGCTCTTTAAGTGATTAAATTTACTTACTTCTGTTTTTCAGAAACAACCATTTTTAGAGCGTTTCTCTGTCGGTATGTCTATCTTTGGAATTGGTTAAGCGATTGTGATTAAACTTTATTAATAGATAGAGAGCAATGCCAGAAGGTAATTTTTTTTATAAAAATTGATAATATAAACCGTCTTCATCCTAAATAACGCCTTTTTAATAAATCTTATCCAGGCGAAACCGAGGCGAGTCGCTATTTATTAATAATGGTGTTAACTTGTATTTCAGGACGCCAGGTCTCCGCCCTTTAGTGGTGATTACAATACTTTTATCATGTCCATGTTCCGTATTTGTAAATTACATATTTGCACATAGAATTGTTGGGAAATATAAAAATAAATAAATAAATACATTTCAGATGACAAAGAACGCTTGCTGTCGATTGTTGGTAACCTGCAGCCAGAGAAACAAGTTGGCATAGCTGTTGATATCATGCTACCAGGCCAAAGGAAGAATATTGTACACGGTGCTCTGTTCCTGCAAGACAACCTTGTCAAGAGCGAATATGGTTTTTCTAAAGAGAACTTTAACGTCGTAAGTATTTATTTATATTTTTATAGATATTTATATAACATTCTCATCTGGTAGGGCTGAATAAATTTATAAAAAGAAAATTACAAATATATAAAGATAAACATGAAATATAGTTATATAAATAATGCATTAATAATTAAAAACCTAACCAGATGTGGGCCTTAGACAGGGGAGACTAAACGGCCAAGGGTTGGGAGGAAAGGAAAAGGAACCGGCGGCGGACGATTTACAAATAACTGTGTTTACTATTTTGAATAGCGGGGAGAATTCGAATATTCAAAGGACGTGCGAAATTCATTAGTATACATTGGGGCAGCGTGGTGGACACCCCCCTGCATTTAAAATCGTCTAAATAATGAGAAGCCAGCTTTTGGCTTTTTAAATAAAATAAATTGAAACACGTGGAAGTAGTCCAAGGTATCCTCCCAATTAGTGAAATAAAAAGTACTCCGTGAATAATAACGAGTCCAATGACTTAAAAGTGAATTTTGTTGCAACCTAAATTTAATTTACAGAATGCCCTAAAGAACCACCTTAACAACCTTAAAACGCGCATCAAAGAACTCGGAGACAAAAATAGCGTAGAATTCAAACGAGTGATTGATCGTATTTAACCAACGTTTAAGAGATTAGAGCAGTCTTACATGGAAGACTTGGAGAAAATTGTACATGAGGTTACTAACGATGAAACTCTGAAGGAAATTTCGGAAGCTCTGTAAGTAATCATGATTTAATCGACTATCAGTAATTATCAGAACTTTATGTTAATTATTCCATATGAAATTAACATTACTTTACATGATCCGTTTTTTATATTAGGTACAAAAATAGACAGTAGGGAAAATGTAGACCTGTAAAGCTATCAGTGAGGAATGTAATAGAATCGTTTTTATTCAATATAAAAGATTTAAAAAACCCACTCGACTAAAACTGTGATAATTTTAAGATTTCAGTAAATGTTAATAAACAGGGTAGGTGTGAAACACCCATCAACAGTATGTATATTAAATTATTCTCTTGGGATTGTTTCACCACGAATTTATAAAAAAAAAACTGAAAATATACTTTTTTGTTTATTTTTTTATATTATTGTCATCTACTATTCTAATTATTACTTACAGAATATTACGTTTACTTATGAGTTTATGCTGGGATATCCGTGTCCTTATCAGGACAAAACCAAATTAGTAAGAAAATTAGGGAGACAAACAAAGACACAGTTTGTATGGTTTGCAGGGCCATACACTTTCAAGAAGTAGAGTCGAAGTTAGTTGATGAGCACGTCAAAAGGAAAAGATCACCAAAGTTTAAAAGGTTTTTTTAAAAAGTGAAGTAGTTACAAGGTTATTTTGGAAAATCTATCTTTGATTAGTTAGTGTTTAGTAGGACGGTTGTTGATGTACTGAATTTGAAGTTAAATATAATAAAACTATTAAAACTAATTAACTAAATATAATAAAACTAATTACTAATTAAACATGCGCCCCGAAAGTAGGTCGCAAACTTGAGCGCAAAATAAAGTTGAATGTACGATGGCTGGTTCGTACATATTGGCAACCCGAAAGAAAAAAATAATATTAACTAGAAAAAAAAAATATTAAGGTAAAGTAATGCCAGTACAAAGCAAATAATGTATGTATTAATCGTCTAAATTAAAAATTATGTAGTTTTTCAATGTAGTCGCCGTAGTAGGTGTTCGTGGCCGCTGATTGGATGGCTGCGCTGGACTCGATGCTGCAGGTTCCATCATCTTATCTTCACAGTAATATTGCGCGCCATAATTAATGCCTGTTATATTGCGAGTACCCACTAGCGCCACCTATTATCAAGTAGCGGAACTAGGAGAGCTTTCTAGAAAATTCCATACTAGAACTTTCTACACCCAGTCAGTCGGGAGTGGTATGTATTCGAACATTCTATATGTTTCAGTAGAAGAGGTCCTATATAAGGTTGGTATGGACCGCGATCGAGTCAATATTGAATTGGCAATTCAAGCGAATACTTTGGAGCAATATAACTGCGAACTAAATTGATCAGTAATAGAGTTGTAATTTATTATTAGTTTTAAGTTTTAATTGTTGTTCGGTAATTAAAGTGTCAATTTTGGTAATTCAATCAGCTGTTTTTATTGTCATGAATTTCAAGCTCGTAACAGTAACAAAGCGGCATCGATACGATGTAGTTTACGTTTGAATGACGTTGTAGAGTATTTGAATAGTGACTTTCACAGTAGTGTTCCTTGGATAAGTCTTTGTCGTTTTGACCGATATCTTCACTTTCCCAGTACTTGGATATTTCGTTGAGATCGATAAGAATCACGTGAAAGTTCAAATTTTTTAAGCAATCGGGGATTGTTGGCTTCCTTTGAGTACTCCAACTAGTAAAATGTCTAAGTACACGTCGGCTCCTAGCAGCAGATCAATAGGGCACGACATGTGAAAGTTTGGATCTGCTAGCTTCAAGTTTTCCAAGTGTGGCCAGTTAGTTGGTTCAAACGACGAGTATGGTAATTTATTTGTAAGCTTTTTCATGATGAGGGCTTGAGTTTCAAACGTGTTGTTAGAGTGAATTGATTTGCAGGACAAATTGAGGCGTCCTTTGCAGTCACCAGATACAGATCCTACTCCAGTAACAGTTGCTTTCATTTTTTTTCAATGCAGTCGTAAGCAAGCAATGCAAATAATCCCAGAGCTTTTTTCAATATTACAGCTAGTCCTTGAAATATTTTAATTTCTAAACCAGCAGCTGAAATTGAAATTAACGATGCTTCCCCTAAGACTGCTCATGGTTAGATATGTTACTCGTGTGGTTAGAAATTAATATAAACCACAAGTTAAGCTCAATCATAGCTGTGCTAATTTGAGTTATATATATAGATACTAGACCATGACTATGATATTACTATATTGCCATTTGATCTTCAATACGTCTGCAAAATTTGATATCCAGACGTCTGGAAGTGGGTTAACTAAAAAAGGTATTACATAATAAATACTTTTACAGTGCAATTTCGATAGCTCGATTTTCAAAGGATCAATTCACTTCGCAGGAAACTCACATTTTGTTCGAGTTACAAGGACTAAATAGTTAGAGATACGCGGTTCAGTGGAAGGGAATGGCAATTTTATTTTTCTAACCGAGGGTTACGACTTAATATGGTTCGTGTTATCGAGGTTTCACTGTAATTATAACATACACATACAAAAATACGTATAAACAGTACAACTCACTGTAGTACACTTCAATATTCTATGCATCCCTCCATTATAGCCTATCAAAGTAGATTGTTGAACGTAGGTTTCCATAGCGTAGTCTGTCTCATGGGAGGGATATGTTCCCACACCCGGTTGACAAGCGCAGTTTTTTATTTTCTGGATATTCTAGTAAGACGCTACAGTCCAACTTCTGGTTTATTTCCCTTTATTACCTCCTACGACATCCATGGGATGATATAGGGTAGTGGATATCCTTACATTGCACATGAATAAAGCAAATAAACAGAATTACTCACCACTATACCCAGACTGGATTTCATAATATTTGTAGTCTTTGACTTCCGCATGCAGTAGGACTGGTTTTCTATCAAAAATGATGAAGTACATGTCACCTTCTTCGCTGTTGCGACTGCGGAAGAGCATTGTACCTTCCAACTCATGGACTTTGACCAACGGTGTGTTGACCTTAAAAAATCGAATGTTCTTAGAAAAGCTATGCCCCTCAGAAATATATAAAATATATAATTTTCGTGATCAGAGCATCTTACCAATAATCTCACGTGAGTTGGGTTAGTATCCAGTTTGAATTTAAATTCACGTTTCTATAAAAGAAAAAAGGTGATTAAAATGTTTATTGAACTTCAAATTTAAATTTTTTACTCCATTAATATAAGGTGTAAATGTTGTGTGGAAATTATTTTTGTATAATTTTTAAGTTTAATTTTTCATTTTTGAGTTGAATAAGCTGTATCACAAGCTCAAACGGAAACGAAACAAAAGGATTAGAATGTCCTCTAAGTTGAATTTCGGTTACGGCGGCCAGTCTCAACAACAAAACTAACAAATTGGCTAGTCTTCGTCGTAAAGAGTGCACCTATACTTAAGTATAGGTGTACTATCTATTCTTACACTCTTACAGTGCAATGAGACCGCAACCCGCTGCGATCAGAGTGAGAATAGTCGCAGGACCAACGACTTTAAGTGCTCTCCAAGTCACAGGACAAAGTCGCCAATTTGTATTTTTACCCACCCCCTGTTTTGCTTTTTGCCCTTGATATACCTTATTCATTAAAAAAAATCATTTAAAACTGTCTAACCTTTTATGAGAAATCGGTAAACATACCTACTTCTTTTTTAAAGTTGGGTTAAGAATTGCCGCACGTTATCCTGTTGATCGATGACGGATGAGACACTTGCGTAGGATTGATGGCAAGAAATTCATTCAAAGACGCTAAATCTAAATTTCACAGACTGGCGATTATTGGTGGTATTACCAAACTTTCCTGCCTGCCTGCTTATTGAATAGGTCTACGTAGAGCATCGGACTTTAGAAAGCTGTTGATTTACGTAATTAATTTGTATTTTAAAATTGCCTTTGTATGACAATTATCAAATAATATATGAAGATTTTTTTAAATTAAACATTACGTAATTTTCGAGTTAAGGTGGCGTAATAGAATCATTTTCTTCCCATGGTTGTCGTAAAAAGCGACTATCGGAAATGCCTAAAATCTATCTAATGACTTCCTATCTGAATATGTTATTAACGGCAGCCATAAAAACTCAGATATAAGACGGGTCTGGTCCCGTGATCTACAATCTGCATGTACTGCACGTTCGCAGAATCTGTCTGTTCGATCATCGACGATCATAATTTCTTTCACACCAAGCAACTCGAGCTCGTTTTTGTTTTGAATATTTTGATGTAATGTATTTTTGGTTCATACCAATACTTAAATATCCTCAAATTTCCTCATGTGTTTAGCGACGAAGCAGAACTTCCAGTTTTATTTCTGTCGTCTCAACATAAATATAAAGAACATATTTGACGAGTATAAAGAAAGAATAAAGGCCGAAAGTAAACAATTCAATAAACTAGGTGATGCTGAAATGTTTGAAACATTGCTAATAGAAATAAGAAATGTAAAATTAATAAACGAAGAAGAAGATTTGCAAGGAAGAGGAGTCAACGTGGATGTATTTGAAGGCTTTGAATTTGAGACGCAAACAGTAGATATAGCAGAAGAACTCATTCCAGGCGGAAATCCCGGGCCGCAATTGTGTGGTGACCCCTCAACTTTCATTGCGCAGCCACCTCTTGTCCCATGACGATTTTTTTGATTCTAACTAGAAAACTAAATGATGCTCAAAGAGACACGTTATTTCATATTTATCAACACTTTTCCATTACTTCTCCACATTCACTATATTTATTTATCAGTGGTGGGGCTGGCGTTGGCAAAAGTATTCTGATTAAAGCAATTTATCAATGCCTAACTCTCTTATTTAACAGAGAAGCTGGTAGTAATCCCGATGAATTAAATATACTTTTAACAGCTTTTACCGGTAAAGCTGCGGAATAGGAGGGCAAACAATCCATAGCGCACTTGGACTTCCAGTGTCTCAAGCGGGCAATTTTTACCAGAGCTGTCGCCAAGTGTGGCCAATACTCTGGCCACAAAACTAGCAAAACTACGTTTAATTGTAATTGATGAAATTTCAATGCTAGGATCCAGGACATTCCATCAAATAAATCGTAGACTTCAGCAAATATTTCATTCTTCTACCTTCTTTTCTGGAATTTAAGTGATGGTTACATTATTGAAGTGAGCATTAAAAGAAATGGGAATGAAAGTGAACGCAAGTAAGACGAAAGTGATGGTTTTTGAAAGAGAAGAAAGTAAAACGGTATGTTAAATAAGAATAGAAGGGGAGTTACGTGAGCAAGTGGATGAGATCGTGTATTTGGGATGTGTATTTAGCAGGGATGGTAGAATGGGAATAGAGTGAATGGGGACACTATTATGAAGAATCAGAATGTGTCAAAAAAGGCACGTATGGTAATCCATAATGCTGTGTTAGTCCTTACTTTAATGTATGGCAGTGAAAGTTGGGTGTGGCAGAAGAAGCACAAAACTAGAATAAATGCTGTAGAAATGCGGTCTTTAAGGAGTATTCTAAGGTTGAATCTGAATGACAGGCTGAGAAATTGCAATTGATAAGAGATAAGTGTGGTATGCAAGATAATGTTGTGACCAGGATTAAGAAAGGAATGCTTCGGTGGTTTAGTCATGCAGAAAGAATGAATGAGGTAAGAGTGACAAAGCAAATTTATATGGCATATGTGAACGGCAGAGTCGAGAAGGGACGTCCTAGAAGAAAGTTTATCGACCAAATTGGCGATATTTTAAAAATGGGTCACACTAGAAGTACCCTTAACCGACAAGCTTGTATGCGTAATTAAATAGATGTGAAGGAGGCGAAAGAGGTGTGTCAGGATCGTGCCAAATGGAAGTCCATAGTCTCTGCCTACCCCTCTGGGTGACAGACGTGAGTATTTATGTTATATTATAAATTGAATCAGACTTCACTAGTCGTTTGATTTGATTAAAATGTGTAGGAAATCTCTGAAAGAAATAACGAGTTATAAAAAGCAGCAAAAATACTACTAAATAAAAAAAGCAGCTAAATCAGTTAGCTAAAATTGGAGAAATCGTGTATATATATATATATATATATATATATATATATATATATATATATATATATATATATATATATATATATCGTCGAATTGATGACTTCGCTTTTGGAAGACGATAAAAATAAAATAGTTAATAGAAGGTAAGGATGAAAATTTTATAAATATTTTTTTTTTACATTATATGCTTCTTTCCATGACAGTCTTTGGGCGATTAGACAAAAAATCATACTTTACGAATTCGTTCAAATTGGTGAACCTTTTAAATCCCCAAAATATTGGGTACTCAGCTACGCTCATTAAATATCCGGGTACAACCATCTCGTATATGCCACTGACATGTATTGTACCGTGGTGCATTGTAAGTCACGACTTCTTCCTTTTGCTTATATTTTGTTCTTGCATTATATTTTTACAGATTTTTCACGGCTAACATAAAAGTCATTATTACCTTGCTGTCGATCTTGATCTCCAGTTTCTTCAGTTTCTCCGCGTCCGGTGCGTTTGCAACGATGAGTGCTTCCAGTTCGCGGGGTGTTGCTTTAACAACTAATTTTACGTCCCTCCTGATCTTACCGCACCGAGCTTGTGCATCAGCCTTGATAGATTTGTAACCATCTAAAAATATTATGAATGACGTTCTACTCTTTATTATAATATCAGAGGAGGACGTCCTCGAGTGGCTGTCACGCACCGTAATGTAGTGCGGCTCCCCACTAGACACTTGTTTGAGGTTATTCCTTGTGGGAGATTTTGTGCCCTCCCACAAGGAATAATGATGTTGTAATTAATAATGATGTTGACAGGTACGATTGGCAAGTAGATTGGCAGTTGCAGTTAAACATTAGTAGAACATAAATTATCGCTAGCTATTACTCATTGCTAATAGTTGGCCTGATACTAATTATGAACATAACTAAATGAAGTAAGTAGTAAATAGCCAGTTTGAGATTATTGGCTCAACCATCGTCAGCTTTACGCAGCCTGGTCGGTATTGGTCAAATATTTCAAGTTACATAGTTCAGCAGTGGTTTTAAACAGATCACATCGAATATAAATTTCACAAGGACATATATCCAAACCCCAAAACAATTATTTGAAGGCCTTACAGATGCTTGTTTTGTGCCGGATTCAAATCCTTGGCCCTTAGCGCTGTAACTTAATGGTAAGCCATTGCAGCAGCTTTTAGACGTTAACCCTTTAACTGGAGAGGCACATGTTTAGCAGAGGACTCTGAAAAATAAGAAGAAGAAGATTTAATGTAAGGAAAGTACAAAGATCTTGAGCTAAAATGCAAATTATTTTAAATTTATATTATATTTCTGTCTATGTATTGGCGGTGTAAGCATATCCACTGCCCTTTAATTTCCCGTGGGTGTCGTAATAAGTAAGAGAGGGAAAAAATCAGGAGATGGGCAGCAGCATATTTTTCATAATGACTAGAAATAAAAAAGGCAGTTGCCAACCCGATAGTAAAGCGTGGCAACTTTGGCAAACATTTCCTATATGAGGCAATCTATAGGGAAGGTGGAAAGGAAACTGTGTTCAGCAATGGAATTAAATAGGCTGTAAGAATAAGGATAATAATTATTTCTTACCTTTGGCGGAGACTTCGTAATTTCCTTGCATCGCAAATGGATCGTGATGAGGCACCAATATCTTGGCTTCAGCATTTCCACTTTCTACTCAGACTTTTCCGTTGATATCGATTTTGTAAGTGTCCGCATTCACAAGAACCGATTCGGAGATAGTGAACTGTTAATGAGAAGTTTCATTGTATAATGAGCTGTTTTCCAGTTTGCAAGGTCAAAGATCCAATAGGTTGTAAAAATTAAATGACTTAATAATAATAACACATACGTGGTAGAGCCACGCTGCAGCTATATTATGTTTGTAGTACGAATGGGTCGGCTCGACCGGTGAAGGACCACCTTCTCATAGAACACCGTTATTAATACTGTTACGAGCTTAGGGTTCGGGACAATAAAAACTACCGTTACATTACATATTCTATAAAATATACTTATTCTATAAAAAAACAGTAGTCTAGTAATCTAAGTTGAATAAAAATTATTCTATTATATTCTTTTCTATCCTAATAAACTGGCAGTTTATCAGATAGTTGGGTGATGCATCTGTGACCTGGATTAACGTCCTGTAAATATTCTAACAGACAAATATGAAAAATATCAGAACGTTCTCATGACTTCAAATAAAAAGTGAAAAAGCCATCTCGTAAAAGTCAGATCAGTGATGGAAAGAATAGTCGGGGATACATTATGAGAAAATCTTGCTGAACGGAGGAAGCCCAGTGTTCAGCAGTATGCTAATGTACCTTTCGTGAGCAATCCAATAGCATATTGTATAAATGTGTCATAGTCAAAACTCAAAACTGGTTAAAACCACTTAAGTCTGTGAAAATCAGGCAAAAATGGTTTTGACCGATGCCATTAGTCAAAAACAGTTCTTACCGATTTTTGTAGTCATAAGTGACCCTTGGTACACCCCAAAGCCGAGTACATTATTATTATATAAACTATAATATTGAAATAATAAAACATTTTATTTTTATCAATTCATAAAGTAGTTTTAACTAATATTCATGGTCAAAACTACCCTTAACCGATTTAATTTGGTCAAATCACTATGAACCAATATTTTTTAGTTAAATATGGCTTTGATCAACCTTGTTTCCTCAGTCAAAACTACTTTTGACTGCAAAAATCAATTAAAATAAGAAAAAAGTGCTATTGACCAACCTCCATAGTCAAAACTACTTTTTTAGATTTAACCACTCAAAAGTGATTTTGACCAGTTATGAGTTTTGACTGTAACATGTTGATGTAGATGATGTTTTACTTTCCAATTTTATCTTGAAATATGTGGGCCATCCCTGAGGAAAAAAACCTAACGCTCAACAAAAGTCAGTCGCCTAGGTACTAATGTACTGTTATTATCGAATATTGAAATTAAACAAAGAACTAGTAATATACCTCGGCAAAGCCCCTCTCTTCTGGATAAATGAACAGTACTGTGGAAATCCATTTAATGTCGTGAGTTTTTTCAAACGGCAAGCGCAGAGAAGGTTATTTAGAAGATATTATGTTTCCTTACATTTGGGTTATTAAAAAAAATAAACACTACATAAATATAAAATGAAATGAATTTCGGAGTCATCGTATCTTGTTGAAAATTATATGCGAAAATTGTAAAATTACGTTTTAATAAGAAACTCCGGACAATAATTCGCGCCCTGAAGGTATTGTGTACATATAAGGTTTGGAGTTATAGGTAATTTTTATCATTTGGATAAACACATGTACTAGTTTCATATGTTTATCCAAAGCAAAGCTGGAGTTCAACCAAGTAAGCACTTAACATTGCTGTAACGAAACGGTAAGTCAGATTAAATTGATTGAACAAACTTGACTTTGCAGTAGAATATTTTTTCTCCAATACCCAATGTATCCACTACATTACGGTTGATGCTTGTAGGTATCCAAACCTTAGAACCCGCGTGAGATGAGTAGGAATATAAATCTTGTTATTAAAGGAAGATCAAAGAACCCTATCATGACAAGTAGAAAGATAGTGAAATTGTTCTTTGAGGTACCTTACCATAGAACCCGGTGAGATGAGTAGGAATATAAATCTTGTTATTAAAGGAAGATCGAAGAACCCTATCATGACAAGTAGAGAGATATTGAAATTGTTCTTTGAGATAAGAAGGCGAATATGGATCATTTAGAATTGAAAAAAGAACAAGTAATATTCTGGAGTTACGACTTTGCCTTATGGTAAGCCACTTAAGCTGAGATATGTAATGAGAAATATGGTCGTACTTACGCAGACCAAAAAAAAATATAGTTATTAAGCACGCGCTCCAGCTTGTTAAGAAGTTCTTGGGACGGGTCGGGGTAGCACACATCTGCATAATCAAACATAGGTAAAATAAGAGTTTGGACAAGCATGAGCTTAGACTTAATAGGAAGGAAGTATTTGAGACGATAAAGGGAACGTAAGGTGACAATGACTTTCCTACTTAAATCGATAACCTGCACTTTCCAGTTCGGAGAGCTATCAATATACAGGCCAAGGTTTTAACAGACTCACTAAATGAAATATTAATATTATCAAAGCAAATAAGAGGTAAGTCTGCTTGATTAACCCTAGCCAGCAACGTTTTACTTCCGACTAAAATAGCTTGGCAATTTACTGGATTCACACAGACTCCATAGTGCGAGGACCAATCTTTAATTGTATTTAAATTCTGGTTTAATTTGTGAATTCCATTATGTAGGTCTTCAACGCCACAATGCAAGTATAGCTGCAGATCATCGGCGTACAGATGGTACGAGCAATCAAGATTATGAGTGATCAAGTTTAAAAAAACTGAGAAGATGATAGGAGAGAATATACCACCTTGCGGTACGCCACATTCAACTTCAACCCAAGCCGAGGTCATTTGACCCACATGAACTGACTGCTGACACCCACAAAGATAGGATGCAAACCAATCTAAGACAGTGGACTTAAAATTATGATGGGATAAGATGGAAAGAAGGATATCATGATCAACTGTGTTAAAAGCATTAGAAAAGTCAACTAGCACTAGCACTGCACTGCTAACTTTTTTTCATCCATACCTTTTCTAATGTCTTCAGTGGCATTTATTAAAGCAGTGGTAGTGCTGTAACATGGACGAAACCCAGACTGAAATGGACTCAGTAGGTTATGTTTCAAGATAAACGTAGTGATTTGCTTATGAACACAGGCTTCTAAAACTTTAGAGAGGAACGGCAGAATTGATATAGGGCGAAAATGGCTGGGAAGGATAGGAGCAGGTATTTCAGAAAGGGAACCCCAAGTCAAGAAAAAAATTTATAATGTGAGCTATTGCCGGTAGAAGAGGATCTAAGATAGTAACGACCATTTGTCTGCTTATTTCATCGCAGCCCATAGCCTTAGACTTGATTGCCAAAATAAACTTCTTAATTTCATCTTGATCGACAGGAGAGAACATAAATTCTGGAATGTGAGGAGATTGCATTGACGCAATAACATTTAAAGTGTGAGTATGGACTAAAGGATCCATTGCTTTAAAGGAAGCGAAATGATGATTTATCTCATCGAGAGATATAGAAGGACCACAGTCCAGCGTGGATAGCTTGCCAATACCCACAGTTCTGAGGAATTTCCACACTTCAGTAGGAGATGAATTTTTTTATGCAGTTATGGAAACATCGGCGTTTAGCAGCACGTACCATCTGATAACACTGATTCCTTGCTGATTTAAAGAATGACCAATTTTTTTCAGATCGTTCCCTCTTAAATATAAAAAAAGACTCAATTCCATCTAAGCATGGCTATCCTTACGCCCTCTGTCATCCAGGAGCCGGGGAGACATCTGGACATGACGTTATAGACAGGAGCATAAGCATCAAACAAGCTGAGAACTTTATCATTAAGAAAAGAGACTTTACTGTCAATTGTAGATTCTGCTACCAAACAGGTTAAATTGAGATCTCGAGCGTCACTCATTAACTTATCGTGGTTAATTTTAGATAAATTGCGTACAGGCAGTAAGGGACAAGAGCGTTTTGGTGGTTAGAGCTTATAGGAAACTTATAAAAGGTCGTGACCCGAAAAACCCTAAGCAGGCAACTGCCCGTGTAATAACACATGCTTAGGAGAAGCAACAAGAATAACATCAATTAAGGAGTCATCAGTATAGATATTGTGATCAGTAGCCCCTAATGGGAGAAAGGAAAGATTTACCGACTCCATGATGACTGATTGAAATGAATGATTGATTGAAATTTTTGAGAACGAAGAGAAACCTTCAACAAATCAGTATTAAAATCACCCATGATTATACAGTGTGTGTACTCAGAACAAAAGTCGTCGAGAGCCGTCTGTAAAGTGGCGAAAAAATCGGAGGAGGAAGGGCAATACACAACTCCTAGAAGCATCCTTGTGCCTTTGACATCAAGTTCCAAAAACAAAAACTCCGCTGACGCTGTGTAGCAAGATGGAGAGGCTAACACTATTTTATACGGAACCGAAGCACGCAAATAGATAGCCACCCCACCGCCTCCTTTATCAGTGCGATCATTTCTTACGAGCACATAACCTGGCAAAGGATATAAAGTTGAATGCAAAGATGGCTTTAGCCAGGTCTCCAACACTAGAATTGCATGAACGTAATTAGATGAGAAAAACAATTCGAGTTCAGAGTGGTGGCAAGGGATGCTTTGAGGGTTAATGAGACATATGTTAAAAAAATTATCACAAGTTGAAAATACCCCTTTCATTATATCATGTAGATTACACGCACTATGACTAAAATAATCATTACAAGAATTAGAAGAAAGAAATGAATCATCCGCAGAATAAAAAGATTCTACATCAGACATAAAAATAGCAATATTTACCAAAATTATAAATAAATACAAATAAAATATCTAAAAAGTATTTATAAAATTAATTATAGTGTAGTAAAATAACCTTACAGGCAAATACATTATACATACAGGCCTTACAAAAAAATATGTAAAATTTATCAATCTAATGGAAGCAACACCATCCCATTGATGAACTGTTTACAAAATATTAAAACCTTCAATAAAATTTTCATTAAAATTTAAAAGTTAACAATATATGAATAAAAAGAGAAAACTATTTGAATAAAAATTAACAAAGGGCAAATACAGGATTAAAGCAGTCGACTAGAAACACATTATTAAAAAATCAAACATTTTAAGCCGTGAACATAACGAGCTAAAATCGATGTATGTCATATTGTACTAGGCTGTATAGTGACCGAACCATTGTATAGTTCCTGTTATCTGAAAAATAAAGTTGTCAGAATAGAAAACATAACAACCGTAGTTTACTGATTACTGTGTATATATTAGAGAATAACAACTTATTGGACAAAATTATTTACCTTACACCGATTATTACAATGTTTACGCATATTATCTAATGAACTTCTTAATAAAAAGTAATTACAGAATTTACAAAATAACAAAGTATACAATATAACGTTAACTACAGTACTTAGTTAATACAATATTAATGCCTGTGAATTGATATTATAACCAAATTTATGTACACAATAACATTCAATCTATGTACTTAAGCAAAATTATTTTATTTAATAATAATGAACTAATCTACTAGAACAAAGAGCTAAAAAGTATAACCATAGATCACTACATTGATTTAAATAAAAACAGAAATTAATATTAAATTTAAATTGGAAAAGAGTATACAAATTTAACAAAAAAGTTATAAATAAACCACACCACCTAATGGAAACATTTTGGCCCATTCATTATAATAATATGTTTAGCACGTTATTTTTTTACATTGAAGCGACTAGACCTCTTAAATTTAAAATTTTGCGCTGATGCTCCTACGTGCTTCTGCAGAGCAGCTTCACCTTGAGGATGCACTACAGAAGAGATTTGTGGGGTCTGTTTGGAAGCCAAGCCAGAAGTAGCTGGAGAACTAATTGCGGGAAATTTTTCAATAAGAATATCCAACTATTCTTCCGAGGAAATCTTCGCCCTTTCATTATTAGGCAGTTTGACATAAAGTATCCCATCAAGTGTCCACACTTTTTTTATACCAAAGTGCTTGCGGGCTTTCTTATGTATGAATTACCTTGTAAGAAACTCAGAAACTGAAACATTGTATGTAAGAAACTCAGAAACTGAAACATGAGACTCTTTTAATTTGGTCTTAGCATTCCAAACCTCATGCTTTGTATGATGTCTTTGAATTGGATGAAAATTGGCCGTGCGTGACCATCTTTTTAACCCCGATCCAACTGCACCGCCTGATGCTAGCATTTGTCATATGTGGAATATTTAATTTGTTATGTAAAAGAAACATGATTTTCTTTCTCTGCGTCAGGTAAACCAATCTTTCGTCTATGCCTCATATCAATTGCATCAATAGACTGTAAACAAGCACGTACCTGCTGTCGGAGAAGATTATATATTGAGCATACCAACTCCTTGAATGCGTAAAACTCATTACGTAATTGAATAAGGGTGGAACTACTTGGTGTAGGCGTAGCTTTTAATCTTCTTTCAAATTCTGTCATCTTACGGGTCCAGCATTCTTCAAGCTCCTTCTGTATGTTCTCCACTTCAGTAACATTTGCCATTATGTTTACAGTTAAGCAGTTCAGACAAAATGAGATGAAAACTTAGGAATTTGATTGCAATAAAGTATCACTAATGGGAGGTGCAAGTGGGACAAAACTTCTCTAAATGTTCATATTTTACACTTCATCCAAACAACAACTAATCACTGATTATTTAGTAGTTTTATATAAAAAAAATTGTTTATGAATATTTTAAATTAAAATAAAATATAAGAGCTGGTTAAACAGTTATTTATTGTACACCTACCCTCCAAAAAAAAATGTAGCGTCATAACAACGCAGTTTGCCTGAATCTGCAACTCACCAAGATAACCCTATTAACCTAATGAGGAGGGGTGGGCGAGAAAATTTTCAGCGTATGAATCTGTTCTATAAAAAAGAAAAAATCAGGCAAAAATACTAAGCGTAGAGAAACTTTTTGTATCCGTGATTTCGAAACTATTTTGAAGGAAGATATTTGAAACTTTTTAGGAGACTCCCTTTTTGACCCCATCTTCAATCTTAAATATCCAGTCACCAACAAACATGATTCCCAGATTATCGCCGTAGTAAGCCTTGAGCCTGTACTTATCATCAAATAAGTCGTTATCACTGTAAGTTGAACTTGCTGTTAATGTTGCCGGTTTTGGTATGAGATTGCCATTGACATCAATCTGTAAACGAAATAATTGTGCTTGATATGGTATGACTGGATTACATCGAATTGCTTTGCGATAAAAATTTGTTGATTTATGAATTTATTTTGGTTGCGCGGAAAACCATTCGCGTTTTTTATTTATGACGGTAGGAACTTGCCGAATCATTATTCCTTCCAAAACGATATCATTCGTACCCTCCTATCGACACATCGGGGTGATGGGGTGGGAGGGGAAAGAAGACGATTCTAGAACATCGCGCAATCACCGGAGCCGAGGATATATAAGACACGCGCGACCGACGCGCGCTCTCTTCTTCCCGCCGCAGCCGTCGTTGAACTACAACGCTTCTCTCCTGACGCACCCCTGGGGCCCCAGAGTGTCTGTCCAGAGGAGGTTCCGGAAATCGCCGCTATAGTGCTCTAAAGGATAGAAGAACCCCGGTGAGTCAACATTCCTTAATTTACTGCCTGATTAATATTTAATAATTGTTTAACCGCTCCAATTCTGTGTTCTCCCCATCAGGCAGGATTCCTTTCATCGATTTGGCAAGTAATAGTTTTAGTTTAGGGAAGAGCGAGTGCATTGTACCGCATGCTATAGTAGTCGCTTTTACATAAGCATAGAAGCAATCGCAAATACAGTCCACTTTAGTTAATATCTCGCGTAATAGGTTTGAGGTTTGACCGGGGAACTAGATTTTCGGCAGCCTTAAACACGTGGCTCCACCATTTTATGGTCCTTCGAGCCGGATCTGGATTGGTGTTTAGTGGTTATCCAACCATTTTCTGGTCGAATTTTTAAATTAATTGTTTAGATAACGCACTGTAAATTATGGAATAGACTTAAATAGTGTTCGTTTAAATTAAAATTTTGATTTGGTACTCGCAAACAGAATTATTCATTTAATAGCGCTCGTATTTGGTTAAATTTAAAGCTTATTAAATAATTGAAACGGTGTGATAGCAACCGTTTGATACGCTTACCCCACAATTTGATAAAATTGTTAGGTTTAGCAAACGACGCGTAGACTCGACCGCAACGGGTGTTCGATCTGATTACGTAATACGGCACGCCGAGTGTTCATCCTACGTCGTTTATGCGTGTGAGATTAATTGTGATTAATATAACTTTATTATAATAATTTAAAATGGCAGTTAGTGGAAGTGAAATCAAAATTAAAACGCTTTATGCCAAGAGGGACATACTCTTTTCGCGTGTGCAGAATATAAGTAATTATATAAAGAACATTAATATAGAGGCAGTGCGGGAAGCCTTTTTGAATGAAATCGAAACGATAGATACTTTGCGGATAGATTACGAAAGAATATTAGACCAAATTAATCATTTGGAATTACAAAGCGACCCGAAATACATAGTGAACTACCAACCGCTGCTGGCATTCGAAGATATGTTGTGTCGCGTAAAAAGAACTGCAAAACTCCTACAATCTCAAAGCGAAGCAAAGCCGGAAATACAGGTACGCCCTCGTGACTCAATTAGGTTACCGCCAATACCTTGCTAATGATATACAAATTAGAAGAAGTACTTGTTTGACTGGTTCCGTAAACATCACTCATATTGAGTCACAAAGAGATTCGATGGCTTTACTTGATGTGGATTATAATGAAGTCGAGAACACTATTATGAACCTCAAAGATAATTGCGCTACAGGTGTTGACAGCATTCCTACTCAAGTTTTTAAGAACGCAAGGACTAGCCTTATTCCACCTTTGACCCACGTGGTCAATCAATGTTTCGCTTCAGGAGTTTTTCCTAACATCCTCAAGAGAGCTCTTGTACATCCTATTTATAAAAACGGCAATAGAGATATGATAGGGAACTACAGACCTATCTCGGTGCTGACAATAGTATCTAAAATTTTGGAAAAGCTTTTAAATTCTAGACTTATTAAATTTTTAGAAAAGACAAATGCAATTGCACGAAATCAGTATGGATTTTTAAAAGGCAAATCTACTGATGATGCGACTTTGTATCTTACTGAGACTATTGTCACGCACCTTGATATGGGTCACAAAGTTGTTGGAGTTTTCCTCGATTTGTCGAAGGCATTCGACACTGTATCAATACCATTACTATTGAAAAAGCTGGAATTAATAGGTGTACGCGGAGTCGTCTTGGATATATTTTGTGACTATCTGTCAAATCGCTCACAGTGTGTCAAATTAGGTAACTACCAAAGTCTGGATGTCAATCTCTCTTACGGAGTACCACAGGGCAGTGTACTGGGTCCAACCCTCTTCCTAGTGTACATCAACAACTTGTGTAAACTTTCGTTACCGAACTGCAAAATTATCACTTATGCAGATGATACAGCGTTGATTGTGCATGGTGAGGATTGGGCTCGGGCTCAACAATACACTGAAAAAGCCCTCACTGAGGTAATGAGATGTTTGGACGAAAATTTGCTTACGTTAAACTTAAAAAAAGACCAAATACATAACTTTCACCCCACGGGCCAATACTCAACCATCCATTGACTTCTGTATAAGGGCACACACTTGTGATAGAATAAATAGTTGCTGCGACTGTCCTCAGTTATCACCAACACATAGCTTAAAATATCTCGGTCTGATTCTAGATAATCATCTTAATTGGTCATTACACGTTAAATCATTAACAGCCCGAATTAGAAAATTAATTCCTATCTTTTACTTACTTAGAAAATCTGCTGATCGTGACACGCTAATGTGTGTTTACTATGCGCTTGTCCAATCTTTGCTCAAATACTGCATTGTCTCATGGGGTGGAACTAGCATTAGTACACTGCTTCCCCTGGAGCGTGTTCAGCGTGCAATCTTAAAAGTAATTTATAAAAGACCGCGTAGGTATAGCACGTCACTACTCTACCGTGAATGCTCAGTTCTTACGGTAAGAAAACTCTTTATCTTCCACACTATACTTCGTAAGCATCTAGGACTGCCATACGTTCCAACTCAAAAACGTAATAAGAGCAAGGTTTGCACAACACCTCCACACAGAAGCACTATTGCAAAACGGCATTATTTTGTTATAAGTTCCCATCTCTATAACATCGCAAATAAAGCTTTAAATATTTACCCTTTAACCCTTCATCAATGTAAATTTGCTACACGGGATTGGTTACTGAATTTAGATTTTGACGAGATAGAAAATATTATTCGGATTAAAACCCTTCAATAAAACACATTAATAGACTCTCTCTCTCTCTCTCACACACACACATACACACACACGCACACACGCACACACACACACACTTACATATCCCACACATCCAATTACTCAAAACCCACACTACAAATTCGTACAAACATAATACTCCCCCATGCATTCACGCTCCGCGTTTATAATTATACTATACATCAAACACACCAAGTGGTAATCTTGCTTAAATTCTATTTTGTTTTGTATCTACCTACATGTTATAATTTTTAATTTTTATTTTAGCTTGAAAAGATTGTAAATATTATTTGTTGAGAAATGTTGTAAAAGATCTTACCTATTAGGTTATTATTTGATTCCCAGAGTGGAAGGCGCAGGCAGCCGTGGCACAGTTTATACTAGTACGGCTGCCGACGTTAACCTCTCAATGTAATTGATGCTACTTTTATTTAAATAGTGTAAGTCACGATGTAAAATTTGTGGAGTGAATAAATATTATTATTTATTTATTAAAAAAAAAAATAGATATTCCGGTATTCAATGGTGATATTAAGACGTGGCCCTTCTTCTTCAGTAGTTTTCAAAACAATATACACAACAACCCATCGTTATCGGACGCTGAAAAATTATATTACTTAATTAGCAAACTTAGTGGCAGAGCACAGTCGATCTGCTCGGGTTTTACACCTACAGCAAACAATTACGTATTAATATTTGAAACGCTTAAAACTAAATATGAAGATAGGAGAATGTTAGCTTCCGAATATTTGAACCAGATATTCGATCTTAAACCTATATCATCCGCGAACATCAACGGCTTAGAGCAGTTTCTAGATAAATTTGTGGCATCGGTGGCTGCACTTAAGAATTTGAAGTTTGATGACCTTATGGACGTGGTGTTTCTCCATATAGCATTAAAGAAATTAGACTCCGACACCGTGCGTGCGTTTGAAATGGAGCATCGTAGCTCGGAGATGCCTTCCTTTCATTCATTAGCATCGTTCGTGCGAGATCAAATAAAGGTGATGCAGCGCTCTCCGAACGTTAAACAGGAGATTAAAAGGTGCGTCGACCGTAGACAGACTCAACCATCTAAAATAGCAGGGTCGTTAACTTACGTAACCGCTACGCCGACATCACTCCAGCATACTTGTATAGTATGTAAAGATAAACACGGTAATTTATATAATTGTGCGACTTTTCGTAAATATTCACCAAGCGAACGTTATAAGTTAGTAAAGACAAACAACCTATGTTTGAACTGCTTAAGCGATAAGCATTTAGTTGCAAAATGCAATTCGAGTTCCGTATGTAGCAAGTGCGCCAGGAAACATCACACGCTATTACATTTTGAAAATAGCAACATAGCGGCGTCAAGTAAGGCGGATAAGGAATTCACCCCTACTAAGGTCAACGATTCTAGCGGTCGACCTGGTGATGTCGCTCTGTGCTCATTGGCAAATATGGGAGTACAACCTCCTTCGACCGTGTTACTGGGTACGGCGCGTATTTTGGTTAGGGATTCGCGTGGAAACGAACAAAGCGTCCGTGCACTGCTGGACAGCGGAGCCCAAAATAGCTTTATAACACGACAATGTTGTCAGCGCTTAGGTTTAGTAATAAATAGGTCACTTTCATGTCCTGTAGTTAAAGGCATCGGAGGTACTAGTAAAGCGACACAGGGATATATAAATTTAAAATTTTATTCTCGGATAGATCGTAATGTTAACTTTGATATAAATGCACTAGTAGTAGATAGGGTCACTGAACGGTTGCCAACCGTTTCGGTTGACACCTCGGCAATGATTGAATTTAAAAATTTGCCTCTAGCAGACGACACTTACGCCGTTCCTGGAAACATAGACATGCTCATTGGGGCATCGCTTTTCCCTTATCTTTTGTTAAACAATAAGGTCAGGGGCAACTCCTCGCATACCGCGCCTTACGCACTGGAAACCGTATTGGGCTATGTGATCCTTGGCTCCGCCCCCATCCTAGATAGTATTTCGGCAACCTCTTATTGTGGTATGGCTGTCGAACCGCTCGAGTCGTTAGTCCGCAAATTTTGGGAGATGGAGGAGGTGAACGTCCCACCTATAGCTAGTCCAGATGACAGGTTATGCGAGGAAATTTACGTCCGCACGACCGTTCGTGATCGCGACGGTAGATATAGTGTAGCGCTACCCTTTAAAGGAGATGTTTTATCTCTCGGCGATTCGCGTCAAATGGCGGAAAAGCGTTTCTACAGCTTAGAGCGTAGGATGCTCGCTTCGCCCCAGTTAAAGGAAGCTTACGACGGCGTCATTAACGAATATATAAGAGAAGGTTACATATCGCTTGTAGCTTCGAAATTAGATAACTACGAAGACACACCGTCGTATTTTATACCACACCACGGAGTCATTAGAGAGGACAAACTTACATCTAAATTACGTGTAGTGCTCGACGCTAGTGCTAAAACTAGCACTCACCTGTCGCTTAACGATATCCTCTATAGTGGGCAAAATTTACAGGGCAGTTTATTTAATATAATAGTCAATTTTCGTTTGTTTAGTATAGCACTATCCGCCGATATTCGCCAAATGTTTCTTTGCATAGGGGTCCGTGAATGCGACCGTAGATTCCAACGCATTTTATATCGCTTCAACCCAAAGGAACCTCTAATGGTGTTTGAATTTAACCGCGTTTGTTTTGGTTTAAAGTCGAGCCCATTTCATGCGTTACGCACGGTGAGACAGCTCGCTCACGATGAAGGTCCCTCTTATCCTAAAGCTAAGAGGGCAATTGAGAGCGGGTTATATATGGATGATTTTGTGTATTCGGTCGATTGCGTGGAGGAGGCCACCCTAACCACCGCCGAAGTCGTAAGGCTCATGAAATCGGGTCAATTCGATCTTGTGAAGTGGACTAGTAATTCGCGTACGGTTTTAGATACAATCCCACTATCACACCGTCTTTCGGCGATAAAGGAATTCGACGATTCCGATACACACAAGGTGCTCGGTCTGTGTTGGTCACCAGAGTCCGACGTGTTTAGCCTTAAGGTAAATCCGCCCGTAGAGAAATGCACAAAGCGCACAATACTGTCATGCGTTGCTAGATTATGGGACGTCATGGGTTTCGTAGCTCCTGTGGTATTGTACGCTAAGCTTTTGATTAAACAACTTTGGTTATTTGAATATGATTGGGATGACTCGCCGCCTGACAGCATTGTTCGATTGTGGCAGCGCTTTAGAGAGGAACTTCCTTTACTAAGAGAAATTAAAATACCGCGTCATATAAATGTCGATAGAAATAGCAGCATAACGGTCGTTGGATTTGCAGACGCCAGCGAGAGGGCTTACGGGGGCGTTGTATATTTCCATGTCCAGAATAATGGTAGAAATTCGATTAGCCTCATTAGTTCTAAGTCGAGAGTCTCCCCCCGTAAGGTTGTCTCTCTGGCGCGCTTAGAGCTTTGCGCAATATTAGTACTCACCAAGCTTATTACCACAGTTATCGGCGCATGTAGGGATAGAGTTCACATAGAAAGGATATTTGCCTTTTCCGACTCCACCGTCGCCTTATGTTGGGTTCATTCTTCACCCCACCGTTGGGATACGTTTGTCGCGAACCGAGTGGCCAAGATCCAAGACGAGTTAGAAACGCGGAACTTTTATCACGTGTCCGGTAAGGAAAACCCTGCCGATTGTCTATCCCGGGGACTCACCCCGATGCAAATAATGGACCACCTGCTTTGGTTCCATGGACCTTCTTGGGTTCACTTGGATCCCTCACAATGGCCAATAACCGATTTCGAACCTTCGTCAGTGTCACAACCGCCGGAAGAGAGGAGACACGCTCTAGTGGCGAGCGTTTCGAGCGAGGTTTCTCCAATTATTGCTCTGGCGAACCGCTTGTCCTCTTGGTCGAAATTATTGCGTATCGTAATTTACGTTTGTCGATTCGCGAAGCTTTTACCGCGACGTTCGTATATCTTAGCATCCGATTACAACTATGCCGAGTCGCTAGTATTACGTGAACTTCAACGTGCGCACTTCTCCGAAGAAATTACAAGATTACAATCGAATAGAGCTTGTAGTCGCGCCTTTCAACGCCTTAAGCCATTTTTACAGGATGGCATTGTAAGGGTAGGTGGACGCTTGTCCAACTCGCAATTGAGTTTCGACCAACGGCACCCTATAGTTTTACCGCGTAAAGACCATATCATGTACTTATTAGTCGATTATCATCATAAATTGAACTCGCACGCTGGCCCCGATTTATTGATGTCAATCTTGCGTCAGAATTATTGGATTCTTTCTGCACGTAGTTTAATACGCAATCGGGTGCACAGATACATCTGTTATAGCTATACATAGCTTGCTTTCGGGCACGCCCCAAGCCGTCATTTCCGGAAATGGCGGAACTTAGATCTTGCAGAGTGATACAATCAGTAAAGCCCTTCACGCACACCGGGTCTGATTTTGCTGGTCCGTTTAAGGTCACGCTCACTCGCGGGCGCGGTATAAGATCCACAAAGGCTTACGTCTGCATTTTCGTATGTCTAACTACTCGAGCAGTGCATATAGAACTCGTGGGTGATCTAAGCACAGCAGGCTTTATGGGTGCATTTAAAAGATTTCTATCCCGCAGAGGCCCTGTAAGTAAATTATATTCGGATAACGGTACGAACTACGTCGGTGCAAAACGTATTCTATCGGAACTACATGAGCTCTTAGCTAGCAAGTATTATAATTCGGAGTTCGCTCACATTCTAGCCGAGAACCGCATTGTGTGGTCTCTGAACGTCCCAGCCGCGAGTCATTTTGGGGGCAATTGGGAGACTAATATTAAAAGTCTAAAGAGCCACTTATACCGAGTAATAGGAGATCAAATTTTGTCCTTCGAAGAGCTAAGTACGGTGCTCGCTCAAATTGAATGCGTAATGAATAGCCGCCCACTTTGTCGGACGTTATCTAGTGACCCCTCGGAACCGCTGGCTCTAACTCCAGCACATTTTTTGAATTTAACGCCTCTAAGGTATCTGCCCGCCGCGGATATGGATGAGAACAGACTTAGCATTTCCGCACGCCACAAATTATTAGATCGGTTAGTGCAATCGTTTTGGAAACGATGGAGGATGGAATACTTGCATACTTTGCAGTCTCGGCAAAAATGGAACACAGCGACAGAGCCTTTAGCTGTAGGAACGGTAGTTGTGCTCACTAAGGAGAATACGCTGCCTCTCCACTGGCCGTTAGGAATCGTCGAGGAGGTCTTTCCCGGTTCCGACGGAGTAATTAGGATAGCTCGCGTTAAGACCACGGTTGGGTCTTACCTACGTCCTGTTGTCCGTTTGTGCCCCTTGCCTCTTCCATAATTTAAATTAGATTTCTAGATTAAAATTGTAGTTGAATTTAGGTAATCTTAGCGTTAGTTAGTTATTTGTTAGTTGATCTTAGCTCTAGTTGTTTAGTTATTTTTTTTGAAGGAAATCCTTCAAGGGCGGGGGAGATGGTTGCGCGGAAAACCATTCGCGTTTTTTATTTATGACGGTAGGAACTTGCCGAATCATTATTCCTTCCAAAACGATATCATTCGTACCCTCCTATCGACACATCGGGGTGATGGGGTGGGAGGGGAAAGAAGACGATTCTAGAACATCGCGCAATCACCGGAGCCGAGGATATATAAGACACGCGCGACCGACGCGCGCTCTCTTCTTCCCGCCGCAGCCGTCGTTGAACTACAACGCTTCTCTCCTGACGCACCCCTGGGGCCCCAGAGTGTCTGTCCAGAGGAGGTTCCGGAAATCGCCGCTATAGTGCTCTAAAGGATAGAAGAACCCCGGTGAGTCAACATTCCTTAATTTACTGCCTGATTAATATTTAATAATTGTTTAACCGCTCCAATTCTGTGTTCTCCCCATCAGGCAGGATTCCTTTCATCGATTTGGCAAGTAATAGTTTTAGTTTAGGGAAGAGCGAGTGCATTGTACCGCATGCTATAGTAGTCGCTTTTACATAAGCATAGAAGCAATCGCAAATACAGTCCACTTTAGTTAATATCTCGCGTAATAGGTTTGAGGTTTGACCGGGGAACTAGATTTTCGGCAGCCTTAAACACGTGGCTCCACCATATTTTTTTCACCGCAAAATTTCGTGCTATACTGTAAATATACAATTAAGATCTTAAATAAATAATATTTTATGGACTTCGCTCTTAGCACTTACTATACGTAGTATACGTGGTATACTGTAAATATCTTGGTACATAATGCTACCAATTACAAAATTAAAAATCATAAAAATGTAAAACAGACAATAAAAATGTTACATAAATAATATTTTATGAACTTCACATTCAGCACTTACCTTGACGTCAAATTGGAATTTATCATCTCCTAACGGAACATTTTTAAAAGTGAAGGAATTTAGAAGTTGTTTGCAATTCCTGAGGATCAATTCAATTTGTCCTTCGTAGTCCAAAGTGTCCTTATCATAATTGGTGTTGATAAGTTTTCCCTTATAGGTGATTATTGAAGCAGGTTCTCCGCGTTTTTCGGTGACAGATAAATTAAGTTCGGCGTGTCCGTTTAGTACACGCCGAACTTAATTTAGTAATGTAGTAGTTAGTTACGTTATAATAGGTATAGATCATTTGTAAAAATCATTGACTACGTTACTTAATTTCTTGTCAAAATTGTCAACATCGTTTTTGATCGAGCGACGACGTCTCCCCAAGCCCTTTTCAGCCTTCTGTTTGGACCTCTCCATCCGTTCTACTAGTTTGTCATATATTTCCTGTGGCTTTTGAGTGCGAAGGAAGCTCTTAGGACCGAGGAAATGCTCAATCACACTATTAATATTACCTTGACGACCACCGATCTTAAAGAATTAAATTTAAGCTGATCGTTAAACAATAAAATGATTTATTCATATAATCATCAAACAGAATATATTTAATATTCTGTTTACATGGGTTATGTAAAGATTATTATATTTTTTTAAATTGTTGCAAGTTCACGCTTGTTTGGTTATGTTAACTTTTTTAATAACATATTACCTCGAGAATGTTTAGATTGTGTCCAAAAACTTCAGCTGCAGCGGGGCAAAAATGAGTCCTGAGAATAGATTACAGCCTGTTTAATGTTTCTCCAACCCCCAGTGCATCAACGTTGAATGATGCTTCGCGATAGAAAGAGTATTTCCTAAAAATATTACAGTTAGAATTAATTATAGGATTGTTTTGTTATTATACACATTTAAAAGGTTTGTTAATATTTAATATAAAGCGAATGTCATACCCGTCGTCGATATTAAATTATCCAATTAGGCCATAATGGAGCTTAGCAAGTCGTTTATCAGGGTTTGACAAGGAGCGAATATTACGCAATGATGTTGTTATGAAACATCCGACTGAAATATTATGTTGTATTATTGGCTGGAATATTTTTATCATGTAGCCTTTATCATACTATCAAGCTTAGTGTTGGCCGACCACCTACTAAATTTAAAGTGAATTCCTTATGAAACACACAGGCAGTAGATTGATGTAAATGGATCAGGATCGTACTTTCTGGCAATCTATGATGGAGGTTTATTTTCAGTGGGCTTGTGGTGGACTGTTATAGTAGTAGGTGGAAAGCTACTAAATAGAAAAATCTATGCAAGTTACTGTCGCATAGTAGCGTCGGTGGCGCTTGGCTGCGATATTAAAAGCTAACAATAATTTTTAGGGTTCGAAAACCGCATAAAAAATATTTGTATTTCTTACAAATATTTTTTCTGGAACTTGCTTTGTCAAGCTATCGGGTGTTCGGTAGGAATGCCAGTAACTAGCGTCCAAATTCATTGTAGCCAAATAAACATCTTAGTTGCATATCTTTAAATAATAAAAAATCATTTAGCATCATAAAGAAATTTATATATAATTTATAATATTAAAACAACAATTTAGACCTAGTTTGACTTACCTTGTTGAACCGGCCCTGAATCTAAGAGTTTCTTTATTTCATTGGTAGACTTCCCACAAGGAAAGGCTATCACAGCTAAATATGCTTTGATGCGAATTTCCGAGTCCAAATTCCTTTTCTTCATCAATTCCAAGTCTGTGTTCTTAATCTGTAAAATATTTATTTAATTAATATTATATTTATACCAGCAATTTGCCTGGGTAGGTTCTATTATTGTGACGTTACTTAGATTTAAGAAGATCAAAGCCCATTAAATTTTTAATTTTTCGTTTTTATTTTAAATATTCAAGCTATTCAGATAAAATATGACCCAGATAACTCCCAGTATTGCCCTGTATTTCATTCAATCGGTTCAGCTATTGCAAAGATTAGACAGAGACAGATAGATAGATAGACGGACAAAAATGAAAATAATGATCATTTATGTTATCAAGTAAATAGGGGGTTATTATTTACTATATATATAAGCAAGCAAATAACCCCCGGAGCTATATAGAAGCCAAGTATTATTACTGATGTGGTGGCGCTGTCGTCGCGCCACAAGCGAAACACGTCGAAGCGTAAATCGTGCTATCAAAGCTTCGAAGTCAAACAGTATAATATATAAAATAGCTCCAAACTGCCACTCAGAGCGTTGACCAATCCCTGGGCAGAACAACTTGCCAGGCGGGAGATCTCCCTTCTCCCCTATTCCTTCCACGACCCCACAGACAGGGACTTCAATTTTATTCAAAAGGATAGACGAGGTTTTCCATTGCTAATGTAATTACGATTAAATCAATTATGTTCTAAACATTTGTATTTTGTTATTATAATATAAAAAAATGTTCAGTTACCTTAGCGGAGCAGGGGTCTGCATGGAATGCTTCAAGTGCCGCAACTCGCACTCTAGCTTTAACACTGTCGTCTGCCGCGCAGTGTACAAGTTTGTCGACGATATTGTTCTCTAGATGTTTGATATTTCCAATACCTTTCATAACAGTGACAACCTAAAATATTTTTTACATTGTAAAAAAAACAATTCATTTGTTCTATTGAAATTATTAATTTTTTTTATTTACTTAATAAACGTTCAATCAATATATTTTTGATTGTACAACAATACACATTAAAACGAAAACAAAGTGAAATAAAATATACAAATTAATGAAGGCGGTCTAATTTCTCCGAAAGCGATTTTTTTCCGGTAGAGTTATTGCGCAAAAAGTTGATGTTTACAACGAATGGCGAATATTGAAGGTGTACATGAAATAGACAATTAATTTATAATTTTCTTATTAAAATAATTTAATAAACAGTAAATATATTATAATAAATATATTATAATGTTAGTTAGTTTAATTTAGATAATTTTACAAAGAATTTAAATACAGACGTTGCTGAAACGGAAGAATTTCAAACAAACAATGACATACAAATAACATAATGGTATGTTAAATTTAAAAACAATTATAACAACTACTTACATAATCCTCCTCTACCTTGTTCCTTGGCTTACAGTTTTGCATTTTTGAAGCCAGTTTTTTACTCAGCGCTAACAATGTCTCCAGATTTTGTTGAATGACAGTCATGATCTCTGCAATAAGCACCTGCCAGTGAAGTTGCTGCTGCGAGTGTTGAATGTGTGTGTGTAAATTAAATGAAATTATCAAATATAATGTTTTCATTTAGAAATATCAACACTTACAGCAGCTGCATTAACAGCCTCATCGTTAAAGTGTCTCGCGTTTCCAAGAGAAAGGAAAACAAGTTTTTAAGTCCAGACAATTCTTTACCCTTGAGGATCTGGGTACCGTCCCAGAACGGAGGAGACCGTCCAAGAAAACTGGTCTGCAAGAAATAAATATCACAGAACATTAAATAAAGGCTAATAAACCAATAACTGCTTTCAATTAAATGATTTAAAATATCTTTAACTATCACCATGTACCCTAAATGTATTTCAAAATTTATTTTAATTTACTTTTAATTTTATTATTATATAAAAAATTTGAAACAAAAATGTAACACTCACTTTTAAAAATTATTGGCTTTAACTTGAGAATAAAGTTCAATTAAATCATCCTTGTTTGTACTACGCAGAGCCTAAAATTAAAATGAATATTAAAATTAATGATTCAATTTCGATACAAAAACTAATTTTTAATAAACATGAATAATATAATAGTCTCATTTACCCTAAGTTGAGCGAATTTGCCTGCTTGCTTCCACGTTCAAAGATTTGGCGGTGTCCTTGAGAACAGCAAGTGCATTCTAGTTGCTTGTTTCAGAAACGGCTCCATGTGGATTCTCCTCTAAAATGATGGTACGACTTTCAGGACAGTCACCTGCAGGGGAGTTCATTACGATATATTAAATTGTATGTTTAGTTTTGTATGTGAATTTTTCAATTTTGACCAGCTATTCTTATTAATTTTCTTCTAAGAGTGTAGATATAGAAAGGAATATAATGTAGATAAAGAAAGAATAGAATAGAATCAGTTTTATTTAAAATAGATTTCATGAATACTTATTGGAAGACATTTTGTACTTTTAACACCGGTTCGGAAAAAACCTCCGTCCTGGGAAGAACCAGCAAGTAACCCAGCGGTACTTTTACAATATATAAAATAAAATCAATTTATAATTTATTATTTAATAAAATTGGTAAGCAGACATTAGAAACAGCATGGTAGCGATCACCTCATTTGCAGGGGTTAATATCAATTATGTACTCTTTAGTAGTATAAATTTTTTTCATAATATTATTTATCATATTATTAGTGTTTTAAGAAAGTTATGTTAATTAATGTCGCCTACTACGTTAGTAATATCATGTATTTTTTTAACTGCATAAAATAGCACAAATCTAAACACAAGGTAATAGATATTCATAATAATAACAATGTACATTTTAGACACACAGAATAGCAAGGTTAAACAATAATTATTATTATTACTCACCATTTATATTTCGTGTACGTATTCTCTACTCAACAGTTTTAGTAAGACTGCCGCTCATAGCTGACGCTCAAACCGACGACATCTGTCTTTTATAGGCTTGTAATTTAACAGTGCTAAACTACAGATGGAGTTGTTTGTGTGGTTTCCGTTACAAGTTTTTAATATAATTGGATATTAAGCCGTAAGTTTTTACATTACAAAACGCTATTTATATTTCTTATAATTATCTTAAACAGTTTTATATTCTATTTATAAATATGAGCAAAAATAAATAACTAGAAATAATCTAAAACATTAAAGTACCCGCAAAATTATAGTATGAAAATAATTACCCACAATGTTAGTTACAACAATATAAATTATTAAATTATTATATTATATATTATAATTAGCTAGACAATTTTTACATAGTACTAGTGGAAAATTAAAAGAAAATTACATTCGACTTCAATATGAATAAAATGAGAACATCATCAATGTATTCGAAGCCAAATATAAATACGCATTATTAAGGATAACTCAAAAACTACGGATCGGTCAGATTTTGATATAATTTATACGAGACTACACGAGAAATACCAGCTTTTAAATAAAAACAAAATCATCAAAATCGGTTCAGCCCGAAAAAAGTTCTGTAGTGTTAATGTCTACACATAAAAAAAACATATAGTCGAATTGAAATTGTTAAAAATTTTCAAAGTTTATGATAGATAAGGCCTGCATATTTTCTGGGAATTTTGTTGTAAAACGCGAGTAACCTGGGTTCGATCCCCGAAGGCACCAATGAAATTGTTAATTGCAATTTTAAGTGCTGATTTATCACGTGCTCGGCAGTGAAGGAAAACATCGTGAGGAAACCTGCATGTCTGAGGAATAAGAAAAAAAATATTTCGAAGACATGTGAAGTTCGCCAACACGCTTTGGGGCAGCGCGGCGGACACTTCCTTGTCCCTCCTAAATCCCTCTCAGAAATGAGGGGAGGCCTGTGCCCAGCAGTGGGACGTATATAAGCTGTAACTTTATTTTACTTTACTTTTGTTGTAAAAGGGTCGAGTATCTGGTATAACTAACTTGTACTTTTTTTTTTCATAGTAATTACAGTTTGTTTTGTTCATAGTAATTACACAATGTATATCACTATTTTTAAGAAACCTATTTTGTTTTTGTGTAAATAAATTAAATTTACGTAAATATATTGAAAGGCCAAAATTAATATGTTTATTTCTTTAAATTTTTCTCTAAGGGACCTTCGAACCTAAATTGTATGACCATTACCCCATAGCAAGAATCCATACGACATTATGCTATGGAAATAACTAAAATAAACCAACCTAGCTGTTTTAACATAATATGTAAGGCCTCTAATCTTTTTTTACAGCAGCATATGGGCCCCAATGAAGCTTCGCTCAATTGCAATTCCGAGAAAAGCATTGGCAAGCAATTTCACCTGTTTAACATTTGGTGATTTAAAAGCAATTTACTAGTTTTGATATAGCTTTATTCACTTTGTCGTATTCTAATAATTGCCTTTTAAATCGGAAAATCAATGAAGTATCATCAGCAAATAAAACTAGTGTATCATGGTTATTCCCTCCCCACCAATAAGGTGAGTCATTAATATAAACTAAGAACAGGAAGGGACCAAGAATTGACAAATAATGACAACTCCATATGTTACTTCTTCTTAATATATAAAAATAAATATTTGTTTGTTCGTATGTTATGCGCTACCATACCGTTCTTCAGATTGCATTAAAATTTTGTCAACTTATTTCTGGCACTTGCGCGAAGGTCATAGGCACTAGTTTTATTTAATTAATAGAATTAAATTACAATAGGTTGCGCGCGTATCGTACCGCAAATTTATTGGAAAGTTATTTATCATTCGATTTCAATTATTGTATTATCATTCCTAATCAAGCAATATAATACTTCCAAATTTAAAACGATATATAGTATCTTAAATAATACTATTATAGACCTTGCGAAGTGCCTATGACTTTTTTAAAAGTTTTCCTAGGTTTTTTAAAAGTTTTCCTTTAACTAGGAATTTCAAACAAAAGTTCGCGCATTATAGTCTTTTACATTCACTTGTTCACGCTTGGTTTCACAACCAGATTGGTTGTTAAAAGTCAAAGTTAGTGTCAAAAAATTAGGAATAATACACATTGGACCAGAAGAGGACTTCTCATATTTTATGCAAATAAAAGAAATTGATATCTAGAACTAACTAATGAAATTTCTATACGTTGTTGAATATATTATTTTCAGTGTAGTCGCGGTGTACGAAAATCCACTACCCTGTATCTTTCTTGGGTGTTGTAAGTGGAGACAGAGGGAAACTGAAACCGGAGATGCCGAGCATTTTCCTGATAACAGTTTAAAGCATAAGCCTTGCCAACCCGCTTACCAAGCATAGCAAAATTGCTACTAGGAAATCTGTGGCCTGTTCTATCTGTTCTGTGTCTATACGTTCTAAGGCCTGTGTTCAGTAGTAGACTTTGGTGAGCTATGCTGATGACGTTGAATATAGGAAATGCATCTGTTAACTTTTTAATTTTTTGTATTATTACCTTTCTATCTGGTCCGGTTATGGTCAAAACGTTGACCTTTAGCGCAAGAACACAATTTCCTAAAGCTGTCACGGAGACCTGACCGAAGAGCTTCCCGCTAGTTTCTTGCTTCTCCGCTCCAGTCACATATATTGCTACAATTCCGTCAACGCCGTAATTGTACGAAAAATTTTTTTATGTAAGTTTGTATAAATAACAGCTCCTTCACACGTATACATATGGGTTATTTTTTAAAGAGTATCCAAATTTTATATTAAAGTTGGAATATATAAATAACAATATACAGTTTTTAAAACTACGTATAAATAGGTCTTCCACTTTTATTTATAATTATCCAAAATTGAATATGATTTATGGGCAACAACTGCATGTACGGGCGCTTCTCTGTGTACGAATCAATTCACAACGTTTTTGCCGACCGAGCGACCCTTACAAATGTGTAGCAAAATAGCACAGAACACTATTACTCCTCAAAATAGTAGATTATCACGCATTCTAAATTTAAAAGATAAAAAGGATAGAATGTTTGAGATTTTATTTTATTGATTTTTCTTGAACATTCGCCTATATTACTTACACGGAACCTTCTCTGTAAATTTGAGCGTATATTTCAAAATAACCAGTCCAGTCATCATCAGTATATTTGGGTTAGACCTGTAAAATACCACCTTGAAGCATTGGAGAGACTCAGTATAGAGACTTGCTAAGCGACTTATTAAGGACATTGATTTGGTTGAAACCAGTCCTGTCAGCCTCGAACACCGGCGCAGAATATCCAGCCTCTCGGTATTCGATAAGATACATTCCGAAGAGTATGCACACGATTTCATTCCTTCCTCTACTTTATATTTCCTTCCTCCACTTTCCTTCGGACGACCAGACGATCGGCTAATCTTTAATCCATTGTTGTCAATATTCCATTTATTCGAGCCAAATGGTTTGTGTGCTTCGTCTTTTCTAATGCGTACAGCAAATGAGTTTTTTTTTATAGAAAAGGGGGCAAATGAGCATGCGGCTCACCTGATGTTAAGTGACTACCGCCGCCCATGATCAAC